ATGACAAAAGTGAAAACCAGTGAAGAAATGGCTAGAGTTGCCAAGTTCCCCTTTAATAAATGTGACTGTATGTAAAACTGTAGTATAATTCTGGTAATATAAAGAAGAACAAATAAAATCCAACAATATAACATCAACAATGTTTTCCACAGGTCTACCTCGATGTCAAATATGCTTCAGACCCAGAGATCAAATTTCCCATAGTCATCCTGCCGGCCACTCAGGTTCCTGGTATGGCACCACCACCTGCTGCTTCTGACTTTGGATTCGAACCATTTGGGAACACAGACCCACCAGCATGGAGCGTACCACCGCAACCACCAACAGCACCTCAACCTTTGGATGCCCCACCTCCTTATGGAGCATATGGAATGTACCCTCCTTTGACAGATTTTGGCAATAAATATTAGTGACAGGCCTGTGAAGATAGCTAGACAGACACTTGGCTATCCTGGCTTTCTTTTTTTATGCATCTGTATTTTTTTGGTTACAGCTACAATATCAAAAAGCAAGATTTTTGTTATCGAACACTCTGGTCAGAGTGAAACCACCACTATATGTGCCCTGTGTTCCATAGTTCATTTGTCCTGTATACAGGGTAGTGTTAGTGTTATGTATTGGACAGTAGTCAGTAGTACATTTTCCAGTGTTGACATATCACCTGTGTCAGTGCAAGAAACATGTTTGTTTTGTTGTGTTTTTTTCTGATCCTTGTATGAGTTCAGGGACCTGTGTCTTCATCCCTCCTAAGTTGTAGGCTTTTGCCCTGTTTGTGATTCTGTGAGGCTCACATTAACTTATGGAGAAAGAAGGCCACAGGATTTCTTTTTGAATGTGGCCAATATCAAATTCCAGTTTGAAGTGACCCACTTGACAAATGTCAATCTAGAATGATGTAAAAGTCACATACATTTTGATATTCATATTGCAAAAGTGGCTCAAATCAGAATTGAAAAGAGCAGATTCCATGTGATTTGTGCTGTTTACACTGTCATTAAAAACTGATCCCACTGACTGACACCACCTTTAAATATCAGTGTAATAAGAAATTAAGGCTGAATAACTGTTACACAGCTTAACTTTCTAAATTGTAAATATTGTTGAAAAACAGGAAAATAATTTTGATAAACGTATAATCATACAGCTCTCCTGTTTCAGATATTACTGGAATATTTTCTGTATGATCTGCATGTAGTAGGTTACTAAAAATGATTTTTTTTTTATCAAGGCTGGCATACATATGTTAAATTACTCTAATGTACAACACATTCCTGCAACCTGCATTAAAAGGGCTCTCCTCCATTTTATACAAAGGTTTTACTGTCATGGTCAGTACTACTCAGCCTGTGAACACAGTTAAATAATGTATTTAGTGGGTATGGAGCTTTCTAAAGTCTGAAGAAATAACCTTGAGGATGTCATTGTTGGTTAACGTCTGCTCTGTTTTCACTGAACTCAAACCGTGTACAGCCTGTTTTTTTAAGTGTCTCATAATTCAGTACTTGCTCTTGTTTTGTGTTCTGACTGTGTGAGTACATAGAGGAAATGGAAATGTTGAACTGGTAAACAATGCAGTTTAAACCGGTTTGTAGTTGCATGTTGAAAGAACTAGCGGTAGGTAAAAGTCGCACTCACATTTTCCATCTATTGTTTAAGAAAACAGAAAACTTCTATTTTCATTGCTCTTTTCATTTGTGTTAAAAATGATTTTCAAAAGAGTGAACATGGCACAAACTCCGTAAACATGAAATGCTTTGGAAATAAACCACGTCCTTGCTTTTGCCCAGAAATGAGCAAATGAGCACTTGTATACATAGAGCCTTCATTCACATGAGCGGTGAATATTTCGAAGGGCTAGCATATAACAGATTTAAAACTTGATTAAACAGTTATAACAGTTGGCCGGATTAATTTATATCTGCCTATTGCTGCCACCCAAATACAATAAATGATATACTATATACAATAAATTTTTGATGTCCGAAATATTTAAAATTACATTTTTGGATAAAATCAGCAGCATTGTGTCTATACAGAAATGTCACGCCTCTGTTTGTTGAATGCACGAATGAAAATGAATGGTGTGCAGATTTGCATAAGAAAAACAGGTTTAACAAGATGTGCATGCTTGAATGTTGGCGAGCAGCTGTTCAGGATTAAAAGGCTTGAGTTTCCTCATGGTTACAACAGAGATTTAGATTTTCCACTGTGTATTTCTCTGTGGAAAATGACCATCAAAAATTTCTCAATTGAATATGATGCCATCAACAGCCAGAACACTTTCACAAATGGAGATACCATTAATGGAAGAATCGTTGTGGAGGTTTCTAAGGAGAGTAAAATCCATTCGCTTATTTTCATTGGACAAGGAAAAGCCCGGGTTTGCTGGAGTGAACATTACGGGCAATATGGACATTGGGTGTACTGGGCTGACGAGAAATATTATAACATCAAACATCATATCTTGAGAGATGCAAACCAAGATGGTAACATTTTTAATTAATACAACCATTGATATGTGATACATTGTAACTAATGCAATGACATTGATAATTAACCATTATTAACATGCTGTTTAAAGATTTATAATAATTCTGTTCCAGGCACCGTCATTGGTAAAGGAAGACATGTATTTCCTTTTTCCTTCAAGATTCCTGACAGGTACCTATACTTTTCTTACTTCTTATGCTTATTTTAGATTGATCTTGCACTTCAAGATGTTAATTTTCTGTTATTGTACACAGAACAATGCCATCATCATTCAAAACCTCAGTAGGCAAAATTGTTCACAAGTTGAAGGCAGAGCTGAAACAATCAATGAAGCTGACAAAAAAGGCCAAAATCCACTTCACATTCATATCCAAAGCAGACATGGATATTCCTGGACTTATGGTACGAAATCATCTTCTTTAAAATTACACTATTTAATAATAAATGTTGTCTAAGCAGAATATATTCATATATATTGCATATATTGTATATATTTTATTATTATTACTATAAGGTACATTGGCTCTTATTATATTTCCATTTCCATTTTTATTTTGTACTTATATGTATATACCTATATATTAATTTCTATTCTATATATATTGTGTTAGATTGTAATTTAAGTATTATTTCTATTCTTCAACATTGTGAACACCTTGAACAACTGTAACAAAGTATTTATGGTTCTGATTCTGATTCTGATTAGGAACCTCAGTATGGTTGCAAGGATAAATCTGTCAATTTTTTTGGCTCTGGAAACGTTTCATTGGATGTTCACACCAAGCGGATGGGATACAAGCAAGGTAATAATCTAATCTGGTAGAGGGAACCAGGGGGATTTTGATTAACTGCCCTTACTTATTCAGTCACTTGACTGTTATTTGCTCACCACAACCTACCATACCCAGCAGTGATGTTGGATGTGTCAACCTGGTATTAAATTACTACCTAATGCTTAATAATGTATTTATTTTGTCTTTGGTAAAACTATACTGTTACTTTGGCCACTGATCAGCCTACTGTGTATCACAGAGAAACTGCATACACATGATCCTCTTACACAATCATAACCGCTATCAACTACTGACTTGGTTTAGAGATTGACAAGCTTTGTTTTCTCCATTTTCCAGGTGAGGCTCTCCAAATCACAGCTGAAATCAACAACCGCTCATCTCGTTCAGTGAAGCCCAAATTCATACTGTATGAGAAGAAGAGTTACTTTGCTCAGGGTCGTAGGAAACTCTGCATTAATGAGATCCTTAAGGAGAAGTTTGAGGCTGTTGAATCCTCTGGCAAAGAGACTGTGACCAAGGTGATCAACATCCCCAGG